GTTACCATTATGATTGGCAAGGGATTTAAAACACTAAAACAAGTTTTCACATCATTATTTGAAAGGGCAGAAGGCTCATTTGAAAAAATCAACTCAGCAAAACTTAAAAATGAAAACAACTTCATATTTTTAATCTAATACCATTTTCATAAGATTTAATAATGTCCCATACTCAACCCTTACTTAATTGAAAAATACTTAATAAATGATTGAGGTAATTGAGACACAACTATTATTTTCTTTTTGGTTCTAAGGAGAAATCCATAATCCCTTTAGAATTGATGTATCCATCACCAAATCATTCTTGGCTCACTAAAAAGCTTTCACTGTTTAGAAACTAATTATATTAAAATATATATTCATATCACGAAATTATAATTTTAATATTTTATGATATAGCTTAAGATATCATATTGATAGATAATATATAATAGAATTAATTATGACTATATTTAAAATAAAAAATCTAACTAAATACAAGATAAAATCTAATGGATATATTTATTGATATTAAAAATGTGAAATGTTTAGATCTAATGGATTAAAATTAAGAAAATATCAAACAATTAATGATTTTTAAAAAGAGATTATAATATTGAAAATTAAATGATATTTTATTGAATCAAAAACTATGAAATTTTTATTTATTATTCAAAGTTTTTGTATACTTTAAGATTTAAATTTAGGATTACAGGTTTTAAAAAACAAAGTATCTTTCTAATTTATAATACGATGTAGTTGATCAATTAAAAAATATATATTTAATAAAATATAAATGTTTTTACTACTTTAGCAGTGATTGAAATTAAAAAGATTATTTGCATTTTTAATTAATTATTAATTTAAATATAATGTTAACAATATTTCGCTGTCTTCATATAAAAAGAGCAAAAATATCTTATATTTTATTTAAGAAGTTAATTATTGAAATTTTATTTTATCAAAATTTAAACAGAATGTATATCTACCCTATAATATTATTAATCATAATGAACTTTAAATTTGTTATTAAACATGATATATTTCTGAGAAGGATATTTTAATATTTGGATTACTTTTCATTAATTTTTCATAAATAGATCAAAAAGAGATAGTAATTAAAATACATTTCAATATAAAGTTTGCTAATTTCCTTTCTCCTATATTATTATATTCATTTAGTTTAAGCAATAAAATTTTAATGATAAAAAATATTTATATTTTGAGTCTTATAAAGCAGATACCTGATCACATTTTGGATATTATTGATAGAAATAATGATTGTAGTTATACAGTCGAAAATAATTCATTCATATAATAAAATCAATTTATTCTGAGGGAATTATATACTTGGAATGTGTCAAATATTATTCCCAAATATTTCCTTTTATTAATTTGAACGATATTTATTGCCAAAGTAAAGGTACCTTTATTAGAAATTGATATTACATATTCTTTATTAATAATTAAATCATTTAAATAAAGTTATTC